TGTAGGTATGATGCAAATTAGTGACAATAGGCATAAATGAGAAACCAGTGCTTGCAAAAGGTTCCTAGGTACGTATCGAATATGCACAAACAGGCATTGGGGGAATACATAGGCTATCTCTGCTGCTGTCTGAATGGAAGCAATGGGATGCAAATTTGCAGCAATCTGCGTTAAGGGGATATTGGTTTTGATTCGCAATAAGACAATAATTGATTGATCTTAATAGGACAAATATCTCAACTACACTCTAGAATCTGCAAAAAACTGCTTAGTTGCATTTGTCCACACCTAAAGCAAAGTATGGAAAGCCCAGGCACCATTTTTCCAAAAGCAGTCTGGGAAAAAGGCTTCTCTATGCCAGGTTGACTTTGCCAAAGTGCCAAAGTGCTTTTGGGGGAGAAATGTGGTGGTGAGTGTTTGGTTTGTGGCACCCCCGTCTGTAAGTACCAGAGTGAGAAGAGACCGGGTGAGAGGAGGAGAAAGAGGAGGAAGAGGAGGAGCAGGAGGAAGGGAAGACAGCTACACACAAAATACAGACACACATAAAAGGATGGACATACAAACAAACAAACAAAGAAAAAATAGAGAAACAGACAGACAAACAGACAGATGGATAGTGTGACACAGACCAACAAGAGGCAAAGTACAAATGCATGACCTGACACAACCTGGGGAAGGAGACAGTAACACAACAGCCAACTAATAACAGCAACAGCACGCATCAGACATGGACCTGGACTGTGAGCTGTAACCTTTCAACTCACTCTGACCCCATGACCTATTCTCCTGTGGTTACAGCATACTGTAGGTGTAAAGAGGGAAGGCATTTATCTCTCACACACACGCAAATGGACTAATAAACATTGAGCATGCATTTAGTCACACAGACTCGCACAGTGTGTTCATTTGTTTAAGTGGTGCTAGGATATTAACAACGTCAGAGGTTCATACTAAATGTAGCTCAAGTTTCCCGTAATGAGGTAAACATATGTAAACACAAAAACAAAAAACAATGCCTCACAAAGTGCTTTTCCGGTTGTGATGGAAATTTTTATTGATAAGACACATGGCTTTATTTGTTGCTAAAGTAACCGCTAAACGCTAAACTAACTCCTTTAAAGCAACGTCACATTCTGGGCAGTGCTCTATTATCTCCTATCAAATTCAAAGGATGTCGTCTTCTGTTTACTTTTTTGCTATAGTCTGATAAATGCACAGTAACATACTGAAATGAATTAGACTGATGCAACAAATAAAGCTATAATGCAATAATCTAATGCAATCTGGTTTAGTCTAGTCTAGTCCAATCAAGTCTAATCAAACTGAGTCTAGAATAGTGTAATAATTTAATTATTTTTTTTAAATTAGTCACATCAAGTCTGATCTAATTTAATCTAATTTAGTTAAATTTAGTCTTGTCCAGTGTTGTCTAATCTAGTCTAGTCCAGTCTAGTATTATACTCTTTTCTATTCTTATCTAATCAAGTATAATCTCATTAAATCTAATCTGGTCTGGTCCAATCTATCTATCTCAAATCTACTGTAATTTAGTTTAATTTGACTGATTTTAGTGTATTCTAAATTTAATCTAATCTAATGAAGTCTGATCAAATGTAATCTAGTTTAGTCCAGACAAGTGGTATCTATTTTAACCAATTCTACTCTAGTCTAATGTAATATTGCCCAGTCTAGTTTTATTGAGCCCATTTTAGTCTAATTTAATCTAATATATTCTAATAGCTTTGGTTTCCACAGAGAAATTCAAGTTTCCCAGTGAGGTTGTATTAATAAGTGTTTTTTACTGTCTTGTGTTACCTCTGAGAAGCTGGAGTTAACACTGAGCTCCTATTGTCTGGCTTGACTTTCTCCCATGGAGGATGTCACACTGCTGGACTCTTATCTGTCTGGGTGTGTATTTTTGTAGGTGAAAGGTGAACAAAATTAATTCTTTTAGTTTTATTAGTAGTAAAAGTGGCAGTAGGCACGATGAAAGGGAGAGAAAACGAATGGAATATATGGAAAAAAACATTACAGAAAATGGAAAGGCAATAGAGGAGGTAGGAAAAGGAAATGTGAAAGCAGAAATTAGGAAGAACAGAGTGTGGGTAGGAGAGAGAAACGGAAGTAATGAAGAGTTACTGAATTACAGTAACAGTGAGAAAAAAAATTAAATAGAGTGAGATAGGTGGAGAGACAGAGTGAGAGACAGACAAAGCAAAATAAAATGAAGACGCCTGATGTTATTACTGAGAATAGAATGACACTCATCTGATCTGTTTTTCTGCCAGATCAGATTCATAATATTGCACATTTACAAAGTTTCATTTCAAAACAAGACATACAGAAACAAATGTAGACTTTTGTAACATTAAAATGTTGCAAGAAAGTTCCAGTAAGCACACAATTTTAGATAAAAATGAGGCTGGAGACATTCTGTATTTTTTTTTATTGCCAATCAAATCCCATAAAATAGCAGAATTAACAATGAATATATCCTACTAACAATATTGTATGTATATAAATCACAAATCCTCTCTAAAATAAATTTCTCTGTGTCAGTGTCATAGAGCACCTTTGTTGTTCAAATACCATTAAAAACACATCAGTGACCACATTGTTGAACTGGATGACATGTTCTTTCATAACCACTAACACACGCACTGTAGTTTATTTTGACTCAGTCCCATATAACAGATAACAGATAGAAATACTCACTATAGCACCACGTGTGTATAAATCATCAAATGAAACTAGTCATCAATTTCCAACTGTTTGATTAACATTAGCTAAAAACTGTATGTATGTAAAAAATTTATTATTTTACTTGCATACATACTTACGTATATCTAGCAGGTATAAATTTACCATGTTCACCATCTTAGTTGAGCATTGAACATTTACTAATTAGCACTAAACACATAGCTGAGGCTGACGCTTTTATCCAAAGACAATTGCTAAATATGTCTGAGGTCGCAAGCCTCTAGAGCAACTAGGGGTTAAGTGTCTTGCTCAGGGACACATTGGTGGTTGTGTCACAGTGCTAATCAATCAGGTCTCCCATGCCAAGGGCATGTGTCTTATCCACTGTACCATCACCACCGCCTGTATAGATATTTAGATTTATTTCAATTTCAACCAAAGCGATGGGCTGAGCGAACTACTGACATGATATGATCCATTGAACATTACATAATGTGCAGGTGCTGAGTAAATAAAAAATGAGTTTGAGGGAATGGAAACGGGTGGAGGGTAAATTGTCTTGTGTCTACACAGAGCAGTGTTAGCAGCATGAAATACTGTTACTGCGCTTGCTGCAGTTAAATCAAAGTCAGTGAAATATGATTGATATATAGTCCAGAAGAAATTTTGGAAATGAGGCAGCAATGCGTGGATATTTTGTAGTCCTTTTACACAATGTGTTGACCCACTCTGACCTCCTCCCTTTGCAGTGCTAATATCCTAACAACATGTCATGTTCACAAGGCCACTAGATGGTGAACACCTGATGCTAGTCTTCTTTTGTCTTTTCATGGGATTTGTTGATAGTAAAAAAATCAGAACACCAACAATGTTGTCTGTATTCTAATACCTCTTTGTATCAAGTATTACAGGTAACACAGTGATTCCCAACAAGGGATACTCGTACCCCAGGGGGTGCTTGTGAAGTTGCTAGGGGGTACGTGTAAAGATTGAAAACATAGCACAACTCATTTGAAAAAACATAATTTATTATTTTATTAAAAGAATATATCCACATAAGGCAACTGTAACAACTGAACACCACTGTACCTGTTGCAGTTATGTAAGAGCGCGTGAAAAGCGAGCAAGTAAGTCTAAACAGGTAGCTAAAGGTAACGGATAAGTGGTTGAACTAAATTGCTAACAAATTGATTAGCAATTGATTAGTTGATTAGTTGTTAACTATTAGATTCAATAAATTGCCAACTATTTTGATAATTGGTTTGAGTAATTTCTTAAGGAAAAAAAGATTTAAGCTTCTTAAGTAAATATTTTGTGTTTCTTTAATCCTGTATGACAGTAAACTCCCAAATAACTTTGGGCTATGGACAAAATGACATTTGAGGAACTCCACTGATGATTTTGGAAAACAAGAATCAACATTTGTCACCATTTCCTGACAATCAGTTTATCAGGAAAATAATTGACAATAAAAATAATTGTTAGTTCCAGCACTGCAAAAGGTAAGCCAAAAGTAATGGTTAAATGGTTGGAACATCAGCTTTGTATGGTAGTAGTTGAGCTGACCAAACCAATCTTAACACTTAAATTGTATAATAAACTTGTGTTATACATTTATTACACGATTGTTGTGATCAATGAAGGGGTGTAGATTGACAGGACCGTGGGGTTACCTTACACAAAAAAGGTTGGGAATCACTGAGGTAACACTATAATACCAATAAAAGACAGTGTTTTGAAATGAAACAGTTTAGCTGTATGTTACAGTAACACATGCAACTGTATCAGCTATGATGAACACAGAATTCAGCATACACCAACAAAACCAATGTTATCTTGCATGTAGTGTTGCTGAGTGACTGTGGATCCACCTCAGTAATGAATCGTCTGCAGAAAAGAGTACTGCATTCTTTCACCACATTCACCAAAAAAACACTTGTGTCACAGCAGAGTAAATCCTGGTGCTGCGGCAGCCTCTGCAGTACCTCTGCAGTACAGATGCAGGATATGCATGAAGGGGACTTCTTCTACAACAGATGTAGTTTGAAGGTGTGAATGAGAAGAATCATTGTGGACACAATACAATGAACACATGTAAGCACCTGGATGTATTTTTTAATATTGTATCACATATTATGTGTTGCGATTATTTTGCGTGTAACTGGGTATGTGTACGCTTGGAACAGATGTGTTTTGATGTTTTTAAGCACATATCATTCAGGACCATGCATCAAGAGACAGCTCACTGCTATCACTCAAGTATCCCACGCTCCTCCTCATCCCCCCCTCTGCCCTCCTACCTTTCCGAACGTTCCCGTCTGTTGTGCGCTGGAACTCCCCGGCGCTCAGCAAGAAACAAGCCCGGTCATGTGGGTAGCGCTCACGGCTGGTGGTGGAGCCAAGGCCCCCGGTGGCCGGGCTACGCTCGTCCCCGAGGACCTGGTCTATAGTTGGGCAGTCCTCATTGGCCAGGGCCGCCGCATTGGTTGCTGCGTCTCCATTCTGCTTGGAATCTGGGAGAGATGGGGGGTAGTAGTGGAGATTAAAAAAAAAAAGAGAGAAATGAAAAAAAAATTCATTGGTGTGGAGGTGACAGAAGAGGACAGAAATGGAGAAATGGTGGAGGGAGAGAGGAATGAAAATTTGTAGGTGAGAGTGTAAAACAGGAGAGGAGACCAGACGAGAGGAAAGGAAAGGAGAGAGAGAGGAAACATGCAGATGAGATGGGAGAAGATGATAAGAGAAAAGGTGAGGAGAGAGAGATAGAACCAGGAGAGGAAAGGAGAGGTGACATGGAGAGGAGATGGGATGGGGAAAGTTGAGAGAGAGTGAGGAGGAGGGGAAGGGAAGAAAGATATTAATGGTCAGGAGAGAAGAGAAGGAGGAGAAGCCAAAAAACAGGAGGCGAAAGACAAGTGGCAACAGAAAAACAATTAAAGGTAAAAACAAAATGAAAGATGGTAAAAGGAGGGTGGAGAAATGATAGAGGGAAAGTGGAGAGAAGAGGGAGAGGGGTATAAAGGATTGTTAGTGACTGAAAACTGTTCTGATCACATGAGTAACACACTGTAGCAGAGCAGGCTGCTGACATGCAAACACACACACACACACACACACACACACGCACACACACACACACACACACACACACCATTTAACAGCAATGAATGAGAGAGACTTCATAAAGGAGTGGCAGAAAGAGAATGAAAATATATACTGTGCTGCAAACATACACAAAAGAGGAGATGCTACAGAGGAGGCAGTATTTGTGGCTTTCAACACAGCTGTCAAATCTAATCTGATATGATTTACTGCTCAATAGTTACAAATGCCGGCCAGAGGGGTGGACACACACACACACACACACACACACACACACACACACACAAATATATAGGGATAATGTAGCACATTTTCAAAATTGAAGACGAGCACAGTCTCATCCCAGGGCATCAAATACCAACGCTTTGAGAAAGCCTGACAAAGCATTGGTATTTTGCACACAAAGTACCCTTCAGGGTCCATATAAGAAGACGCCCTGGGCAAGTAACTCCTATGTAACCCTGTCACACAATGTACGTATTTCAACCCAAAAAACATGTTTTCCTAAACCTAACAATGTAGTTTTTAGGTGCATTTCATAAAATTACTATATTGTGGAAAAGTGATTTTTTTTTAAACGTGAAACTGTCATATATGCTAGATTCATTACACATAAAATGAAATATTTCAGGCCTTTTTTGTTTACACCTTGATGATTATGGCTTACAGGTCACGTAAATCAAAAATGTTATAATATTAAAAGAAAGGATGTATAATGCTGAAATGTCGACCGGAGAAGAGCCTTTAATCTCTCAGTCTGGTTCAGTACACACAACCACAATCATTGGGAAGACTTCTGAATTGACAGTTGTCCAGAAGACACTCATTGACACCCTCCACAAGGAGGCTAAGCCCCAGAAGGTCATTGCTGAAAGGGCTGGCTGTTCACAGAGTTCTGTCTCAAAGCACATTCATGGAAAGTTGGAAGTGTGGTAGGAAAAGGTGCACAAGCAACAGGGAAGACCGCAGCCTTAAAGGGATTGTCAAGCAACCACACTCAACAATACAGTCAGGCTGAAGGCAGCTATCAAAACAACCTGGGCTTCCATAATACCTCAGACGTGGTGTCCAATCTAATATGGATTTCTATGAGCCGTAAGCTGTAATCATCAGAATCAGAATCAGATTTATTGACAAAGTTGTTTTTACACATTCAGGGAATTAGTTTTGACGACTAGGTGTGCAACAACAATAAAGATAAAGACATCTAAAAATTACGAGGTTGATGGAGGAGGTGATTGATGGTGGTTTAGAAGTACGCCAAAATTGTCTTTGCTAGGCTGAATTTCTTCAGCTACTGCAGGAAGTACATTCTCTGCTGAGCTTTGTTGGTAAGGGAGTTGATGTTCCTGGCTGGGCTCTTTCTGAAGTCCACTGCCATTTCCACTGTCTCCACTGTCAGCTATTTCTGGCTGCACCAGGTGAACAGATGGTCAATCTCCCAGCTGTAGTCGGACTCATTCCCACCACAGATAAGCCCAATGAGGGTGTTGTCTTTGGCAAACTTAAGGAGCTGAACTGGTGTTGATGGTCTGGAAGTTGGAGACAGACAGGAACACAGACATCCTGGTGTAGGTGCCTTAGGAGTACGGGTGCTGGAGGATGAAGTGAAGGGCCATGTTAACTGCATCATCTACAGACCTGTTGGCTCTGTAGGCGAAGGACAGGGGATTTCATTACTACAGGGCAATGGATGTGTAGTCATTAAGTCCTGTGGTCCTTGGTTGTTTGGGGACAGGCTGGCACATAGCTCCAGTGAGGTGTCCGTGAATGCCGGAGACAGCTGATCAGCGCAGTGCTTCAAAAGTAGATGGGGAGACACAATCCAGCCCAGCTACTTTGCCTGGATTCTGCATCCTGAATAGCCTGTTGACACCCCCTCTGAGATGGAGAGGGTGGGAAGTGGAGCTGGTGGGCTGGGGCTGATCGGAGGGGTGACTATGGATGGTGTCAGGACAGACAGTAGAAGTAGTTTAGCTTGTTGGTCAGGAGAGAGTTGTTAATGGAGTGTGGGCTTTAGCTTTACAGTTTTTTACAGTTTAATTGGTGTTGCAATTCAATTCAATTCAATTTTATTTATATAGCGCCAAATCACAACAACAGTTATCTCATAGCACTTTTCATAAAAGAGCAGGTCTAGACCGTACTCTATGATGCTATTTACAACAGTTCCCACCAAGAGCAAGCACTACACGAGGCAAGGAAAAACTTCCTTTTAAGAGGCAGAAACAGTAAAGACAGTAAAGATAATGTTGGTACAGACTGAATGAATGATGGTACAAATATTTATAGTAATGTTCCTGATAATAATCTTAATGTTAATGATAATAATAATAACAATAGGACTAGTAATAAGAATAGTAGCAGAGGGTGTAGAGCAGGAACATGGGGATAACAGGTGACTCAGATCAGGTCAAATCCAGACTCTACAGCTCTAGAGCCAGAAACACCTGCAGAAAGTGATAAGGTGAGAGAGGACAGGGACGAGAAAGCACAAGACTACGGGAAAGGGGAGAAGTCGTGTTAGTAACATGCATTAATGGGATGAGGTTGCATAGAGAGGGAGAGAAGGAGGAGGAGAGAGGAGCTCAGTGCATCATGGGAAGTCCCCCTTGCAGTCTAGGCCTATAGCAGCATAACTAAGGGATGGTTCAGGACTCACCTGAGCCAGCCCTAACTATAAGCTTTATCAAAGAGGAAAGTCTTAAGCCTACTCTTAAATGTGGAGATGGTGTCTGCCTCCTGAACCCAAACTGGGCCCTGAATCTACATGAGAGGATCTTGATAGCTGAAGGCTCTGGCTCCCATAATACTTTAGAAGACTCTAGGAACCACTAGTAACCCTGCATTCTGGTGGGGTAGAAGGATTTTAAATTCTATTCTGGATTTTACTGCAAGCCAATGCAGAGAAGCTAAGACAGGAGAAATGTAATCTCTTTTCCTGGTTCTAGTTATTCTGAATAATTTTTAGACAGGATGTTCTGGATTTTTGCAATATTGAAATCTGCTAAATGTGAGAGTCAAACGACATGTCCTGATCAAAGATAACTCCAAGATTCCTCACAGTGGCGCTGAAGGCCAGGGTGAAGCCATCCAGAGAAACTATATCTTCAGATAATGCATCACGGAGGTGCTTGGGTCCCAGAACAATTATATCATTTGAAAATTTAACATTTGAAAATTATAGGTCGTCCAGTTTTTAACATCCTGAAGGCACATTTGGAGTTTGGCTAACTGATGAGTTTCATCTGGCTTGATCGATAGATATAATTGAGTATCTTCTGTATAACAATGAAATTTTATGGAGTGTTTCCTGATAATATTGCCAAAAGGAAGCATATATAAAGTGAATTGGTCGCAGCACAGATCATTGTGGAACTCCATAAATAACTTTGGCGTGCATGGAGGATTCATTGTTAACATGTACAAACTGAGATCGATCTGATAAATAGGACTTAAGCCAGCTTAGAGCGGTTCCTTTAATGCCAATGAAATGTTCCAGTCTCTGTAATAGGTTTAAACACTAGGTTTAAACAACAGAGAAGCCAATTGAATCTAAGAGAGAGATAAATGTAGTACTAAGGCTATCATTCTGAAAGTTCACATGAATATTAAAATCCCCTACAATAACAACTTTGTCCGTTTTTAAGGACTAAAGTTGACAAAAACTCAAATTCAGATAAAAAGTAGTAAAAAAGTATAAACCAGGAGCACGGTACACTATAACAAATAGAAGTGGTTGCAGTGATTTCCAACTTGGGTGTGAAAGACTAAGAACAAGACTTTCAAATGAGTTATAGTTTGGTTTAGGTTTAGAGCTGATTAGTAGGCTAGAGTCGAAGATAGCTGCAACTCCACCTCCTCGGCCTGTGCCTCGAGGAATGTGAGTATTAATATGACTGGGAGGGGTGGATTCATTTAGGCTAACATATTCACCATCACCCAGCCAGGTTTCAGTAAGACAAAATAAATCAATATTACAATCTGATATTAGATGAGAGAGATCTGACGTTTAAATGTCCACATTTAATTCTCTTACTATTCTTTTTGCACTATTGCTCTTGTGGTTTTAATTTTTATGAGGTTTTTATGCACAGCTCCTCTTCTGTTTACCTTTGATTTAAATAATTTCGATGGTCGGGGGGCAGACACCGTCACTATAGGATTTTCACTAAGTAACTCCTGAAAAAGAAGGGCAGAGAAGTGTGTTAGACTGCGACTCTGCCTCCTGGTCTCAACTCTGGATTGTCATGGATTTGGTCCACTAATAAACTTGGACAGATTTCTAGATATGGGAGCAGCTCCATCCCAAGTAGGAAGAATGCCGTCTCTCCTCAGACCAGGTCTTCCCCAGAAAGTCTGCCAATGATCTACAATGCCCACATCGTTTGCTGGACACCAGCTTGACAACCAGCAGTGAAATGATGACATCCATGTCATCACTGGTCTGATTTGGCAAACTGGAAAACTACGGTGTCCGACATTGTTTTTGCATATGTACACACCGACTCAACATTAATCTTAGTGACCTCCGATTGGCGTAACCGGGAGTCATTACCGGCGACGTGAATAACAATCTTACTGTATTTACGTTTATCCTTAGCCAGAAGTTTCAAATAAGACTCAATGTCGCCCGCTCTGGCCCCAGGGATGCACTTAACTATGGCCGCTGGCTTCGCTAACTTCACGTTTCTCAAAATGGAGTTTGTTTCTCTGTGTGGCTGAGTGGGGGAAATCTGTGAACAGGTTGGTGGTAAACCGTGGACTTTGAATGCTTACGACTATTCCTGCTTCGGACAGTCACCTAGCCGCACTTTCCTGGCTGCTCAGAAGATGCCGGAGGATGGCTACCAGAGGCTAATTCAGGTCGTTTCACACTGACTACCGGGGACTGGCTAGCTACAGTAGCTAGAGTGATCAGGGTGCGGAGCCGGACTTCTAAATTACTAAGCCTCGCCTCCATGGCTATACATAAACTACACTTGTTACATGTACCATTACCTCTAAAGGAGGCAGAGGAGTAACAGAACATCTGACACACCGAGCAAGAGAGAGCAGGAGAGGGAGAGGGGGAGCTAACAGCTAAGCTAAAGTACAGTAGCGTCAGCTACCAAAATTCTTTTGAACAACCATGTGATTTAGAGTCACTGGTATTTAGTTAGAGAAGCAAAACTTGCAACCAACACACAAGCACCAGAAATGGAACGGAATGAGTCAATACACTTACCTCAACGTCTCTACAGCCGTTCAGCTTCTCACACCTCCTTGCTAAACCTGTACTTTAACGCCCTAAACCCGCCTGAGTTTAGGTGTGAACCAGGGTTTGCCGATGTTATAACTCACCCTGGTGAGTGATGAAATACAGCTGTCCTCACAGAAGCTGATGTATGACGTCACAGCATCTGTAAACTCATCCAGACTGTTGGTAGAAGTCCTGAAAACATTCCAGACAGTGCAGTCCAAACATGCGTGAAGGTCCTCTATAGCCTCACTGGTCCTCACAACAGGTTTACAAAGCTTTAATTTCTGCCTGTTCACAGGAATCAGGTGGATCATTGAGTGGTCAGAATGTCCCAGAGCAGCGTGGGGAACAACGTGTAGCTGTGTAACACTGATCCAGAATGTTCTCCTCTCTGGTCGGACATTTTATAAACTGTCTGTATTTAGGGAGTTCTTGGCTGAGATTTCGCTTGGCTGAGATTTCCCTTGTAGGATAATAAATAGGGAGTCTGGGAGTCTGGGTTTGCTCCACTCAGTGGTCTGGTGTTGTTCCCCTGATGTTCAAGAGCTCTTCTCTGGTGTAAGAGCTTTGAAAATCACTGAAAAAAAAAAAAGCAAAACAAAGTGCACCGAACACTGAGCCAGCTATACGCAGCACCATGTTGGATCTTCATCATCAAGATTAAAACAAAAAAAGGTTTCACTTTATGTGTGATGAATCTAGAATATATGAAAGTTTCAGTTTTTGACTTAAATTACGGAATAAAAGGAACTTCCACTATATTCTAATTTTCTGAGATGTATATACCATACTGCATATATGCGGATGCTGAGGTTGTACATTATTAAGAAGGCGTCTCATACAGACCCTGAAGGGTTACCTTGTTTTTCAAATACCGAAAATACAGACCCTCAATTATGAGTGCTTGAAACTTGTTCTACTGACATTCCTTACTCTACCAACAGCGATCAATTGCTTTTTCACTTTCTTCTGACAAATGTACTTATTGCTTACTTTACTTAAATTTAAATGTAAAACACACGCACGATTACATATTTGTTTGCTGTAAGACAATGCAGTGGCAAGCCAATTTCAAGACTATTTATAGTTCCAAATATTAAATCTGGTAAAGACTACAATTCCAGCACAAGCAGCAAGATGCACACTGATACACGCATTTGTGTATTGGTGTAGATGATGGACATTTTCATTAAAACAGCAGACATGAGATGAGATGTTTCTACAGGCAGAAAATAATTGTATCTTATAATCCAGGACCAATTTCAGCCTTGGTAGTCCAGCATCTGTTGTGAGAAAAAAGAGGTGGATTTGTGGGGAAAAATAAATAAATATTTTTTTCAGCTTTCTCATCCCATCGTATATTAAAATCCAAATTTAGTGCACTCCACTCTAGGCAGAACGAGGACAAGTTATTTACAGCTTTAAAACCTGATACACACTTCTCACATCAGTTCAGTGTCTGAAACCTGACCTCTGGTCATGAGTTTGATGAGTAAGTGAGGAACTTGAACACTTTTATAATATAATTTTTGTTAAGGTTACTCCAATTTGGAACTCTATAAGTAGTAATGTAAAGAAGAGATGACACATGTCTGATACAAAAACAAATCTTTTCTCAGCCAAACAACATCCAAACCCATACACACAAATACAGAAAACATACCCCATTACATCTACTTCTCTAACACTACCACGTTTCAACACAAAAATCCATACCAAGCCCTTTTTAGTGACTTTCACAATGAAATTCAACGATCCTAAATTTAGTTGTTTTGGGATATGACATTTAGTTGTTTTGGGATATGACATATTGATTAAAATTCAATACATGATTCAAACTCTGTTTCCTGACCGGACCTACATAATGTAAACCACGGGACCTATGTTATGTAAATCACGTGAGGACCGCAGCAACACCAATGACGTTAACCCTAACTGCTAGTAGGTCGGCCGTGAGAAAGATGTGCGCAGCTGTTGGGTTTAGCGGTCGACATGCATACAACCACTGACTTAGGTTTGACTTAGGAGGCTGTCAACGCCTTTAAGACTAATATAGTTAGCTAGGTAGCTAACACTAACGCTACAAAGCTAACATAGCTATTGCTACTTGACTTTATTTAAAAAAAAACAAATAAATGTTGTTTCACAGAGGAACTGAATGCTGGTCTCCGAGGTGAAAAGGCAGCTAAGTTGCTTGCCTTCCACCCAACACACCACCACCGGAATACAACTTTATGGCTATTTGTACATAACCATCTTTTTCACATGTTTGCGTTGTACCGCTATTATAGGTTCCATATAATGACACTCTGATCTCAAGGTGATGCTGTGAGTCAAGTTTGCGTTTCTGAAAGTCCAAAATTTTTCATCACTTTAATCTCTTAAGTCATGTGCATCTGTCATTTTTCATGACTTCCTTCGATCCCGTTCATTGCCTCTATATTTATTAATTGAATTCCTTTGAGTTTTAAGCCTCAGGTATTGTGATGAGCATTTTTCACTATTTATTGACAATTTTAGATTAAACAAATTATCAGTTCATCTAAAAAGTAATCAACAGATTAACAGATAATTAACAGACATCGCCATCGCAACGTGTGATTCTAGGATACAGAGACACCTGAGGATAGTTTTAATAGAGTTAATCAATTTGCACATATTTGCTTTGTTGTTTGTTTGATTAATTGGTTTCACTCCAAAATGGCGCTCTTTAAAATGCTTGTCAGCATTCGGATGCTGAACTTGAATAAAAAATATGGTAATTTTCAAAAATGTTGCTTTTTTCCCCTCACAGCTCACACTCTTACATGCATGACCTCACTTATGTTCAATCACTCACCTGCCCTGTTGATCTCGATAATCTCTTCCTGTGCCAGTGGGCAGTCTCCAGTTCCCATCATGCTGCCAGATCCCACCATGCCAGGCCCGAGAACATTACCCATCAGCCTGTGTGGTGAGGCAGTTGCCATGGCCAGGGCATCTGGCTTGCAGTAGTTGGGGCTGCCTGGCTGTGGTGCTCGGGGGATGTGCTTGTTCCTCTTCTTGGGTAGTTTCTGCTTGGCCATGGCAAGGGAGTAGTACATGCCAAAGTTGTTGACGATGACGGGCACAGGCATGGCGATGGTCAGCACACCAGCCAAGGCGCAGAGAGCACCCACCAACATTCCCGACCATGTCTCAGGGTACATATCCCCATAGCCCAGCGTGGTCATGGTCACCACAGCCCACCAGAAGCCGATGGGGATGTTCTTGAAGTTGGTGTGGGCCGCAGCCGTCGGATCGTCTGGGTCTGCACCGATACGTTCGGCGTAGTAGATCATGGTAGCAAAGATGAGGACGCCCAGCGCCAGGAAGATGATAAGCAACAGGAACTCGTTGGTGCTCGCCCGCAGAGTGTGGCCCAGGACCCGTAAACCGACAAAGTGGCGAGTCAGCTTGAATATACGCAAGATACGGACAAAGCGCACCACACGCAGGAAGCTCAGCACGTCTTTGGCTGTTTTGGAGGATAGACCGCTCAGCGCCACCTCCAGGTAAAAGGGCACGATGGCCACAAAGTCTATGATGTTCAGGGTGCTGCGGAAGAACTCTGCCTTGTCAGGGCAGAAGATGACCCGCAGCATCACCTCAATGGTAAACCAAATGACGCAGACACCCTCCACATATGTCAGCCAGCCATCTGTGACTACCTCAAACACTATCTGCAGGGAAGAAGAATAAATAAAGGGTTAATGGATTTTATCAAGCCGTTACTCATTTATTCATTCATTACAAGGCACATGCCCAGAGGCACAATACCTTGTTCCTCCAGGGCATATTGTTCCACTATCTAATGTCATATGCATTTTTGCTTTATATTCTTTTCTCACTTTCTGTCAGAAGTTAAAGTTTGTTTAGCAATTCCTCTTGAACTGTGAGTGTATCGAAACTCTGGCCAATGAAAAATACAGAACTCATATGAGGATGATCCTAACAAATGTCTTCCTTAACAAATAATCTTCACCACCACTTCTGTATTTTTGTTACCTGTTCCTCACAAATCTCCCAATTTTTTGTAGAAGAGCAATACACTGGAGTGTCCTTTTATTAACATAATAAACAATTCACTAAAACTTCATTGTACCTCCTCATGTGTTGTATTCCCAACGGTGACATTCTCCGTCTTGTTATAGATAGTGTTGAAAGCTTCATGGGTCTCCAGGCAGAAGGTAGAGATTGAGAGAAGAATGAAGAAGAGCGAGCCAAACGCCACATACTGCAGAGAGAAAAACAGTGTTACAATTTGCACATCCAGCATACATCATCTCCTTTTACTCAAGCAACACTACAGGAAACACAAACAATTGGCCAGTTTCAGCTATTCTGGCTAGTTTAAGCCTTTGTCATTAGTATTTAGGTTTTCATGTGATTTCTGGTGGAGGAGGGGGGGTTTTGGCCATTGCAGTATATGGAAAACAGTGGTTATGCCAACAGACTGCAGATAGAGGGCACTAATAACAAACTGAGGAGAGTGGAGGAATGGTGTTTATTCACTGCAAATGTTCTGACTGCTGAAATCCCATTGATATCAGCACTTTTAGAGAGATAGAGGGAGAGAGGTTAGGATGGTGGAGAGAGTAAAAGTAAGACAGGTATACATGGTACACATGGTGTGTGTGTGTGTGTGTTTGAAGAGAGTTACTGTGAGCACCATTATGAAATGATATCAATGTAAGTAAAGCTAATTGATGTGTGTGTATGTAGGTTGAAACGGTCTTTTTTCAATCAGCATACGATAAATTGTCTATGCTGATACCACCTATAAGACCACACACACTCCATGTATCTTGCAAATAATTTATATATTTTTTATGTATGTATGTATCATCAGTCATTTTCTCTAGTGTTCGTGTGTATAGGGAGATTTCCTTTTCTCTGCAGCATCGCCCTGTCCCATACTCCCATCTCTCTCTCTTACAGTCTCCTCCCACCCCCTTTCTATGCCTCTCTCTGCCTGTGCGTGTGAGCTGCCTGGATGTGTTGGGGTGCTCCCAGTGTGCATGCAATAGCAATTGTCTACGATAGATGGCAATGTTCTGAGCAGGTATTGTACAGTTACAATTACTTACTTTCACACCCCTGATGTGTTCCAGATATACTTCACGTACATAGAGGTGAATGGAATTTTGATAAAGTCACATTTATAAGATTGAAGAGCAACTGTCCACAAACAGTGTCCTAATAAGACCTCACTGTGAACATTTCTCTCTTTCTACTGAAGAAATCATTCCTTTAAAAAACTGCTGTGAGTGCCACAAATTAAATTCCATTCTCCTTCATGGTATTAGGATGGAGGTTGAAAATTCTGACATCTCAGAACTATCTTCAAAGACAGATACTACTAGAAGTAACTTAAAATGTGTTTTTGGTAATGGGTGAACTGACCCATCAACCTAAAGTCAAATTATGTTTCTTTCACTTAGTTTTATCTTTAAAATTCTACAGTTTTTATACATATGTTAATTTGAGGTACGTTTACTGTATAGAAACATACATATTTGCAGTGAGATCAGGATTACAGGGCACATTATTTGGTTTTCTGCTCACGCTTGCAGGAAGTAGAGGTGCAAACGTGAACATGCTCCGCACTTGTATAGCGCCTTTCTAGTCTTTTCGACCACTCAAAGCGCTTTTACACTACATCTGCATTCACCAGTCATACACATTCATACACTGAGCCTTAAGTGCTCAAACAGAAACTAACATTCACACACATTCATAGACTGGCGGAACAGCCGCCAGGGGCAATTCGGGGTTCAGTATCTTGCCCAAGGACACTTCGACATGCAACCAGGGGGAACCAGGGATTGAACCGCCTTCCGATTATCGGCCAACCCGCTCTACCTCCTGAGCCACAGCCGCCCCAAACACAAAACGATTTTCTCTCAATCTGTTACATCCCTACCCTCCCAGTCCCCCTCACCCATGGGGTGAAGGGTACTGGGAGGGTTATCATTGCAGCGGTGTTTTTGCTTCACTAGCATCAAGGGAGAAAAGTTCAATGGCTTTGTTTTATAGACCAATAACTTAACCCAAAACATGTTCCTCTTCAAATCAATAGGGGGAACCCTAAGGGCTTCAATCAGTCACATTTAGACTTAAGATGTAATAACAGTAGCACCCTGTTGAGATCCTTAAGGCTAGGAGCTCTCCAGACCTATTGAAATCTTCTGGGCAATACTAAGCACCTTCACTTGAAGAAATAGTAAAATATTTTTGGGAAATATATTTATTTGCTTTTTGTTTATTGGCTGGACGCAATAACTTCCTGGAGTCTTGTCATAACTGTGTAAGAGCAAAAACTCTCATTATAATAAAAATCATAATCAGCTTTATTTATTTAGCAATAGTTGTACATAAGATACAACTCAGAGTGCAGTGCATTAACAAACATTTTAAAATGCATGACAACCTATGGCAGCAGCTAGCAGAGGGAGAGACAGTCAACTAAACAGGTGCTAATCAATTCATAAAGAGTTAATGAGCTAGTGTAAAGATGTTATCTGTGTTCTTGTTTACTTGTTTTGGTTAAGACTCATGCTGCCTTATGTGCAAGTAGAGGTCTGTTAGAGTGCAAAATTTGGTCTGACTTTTACTATATTTTTCAGGTGCAGATACTATGAGAAAAGATCTAATAAATTAGACATTTTTTCATAGCAGGAAAAGCATGTGTGCCTAAAAACATTAGTGATGGCTCTGTTCCATGATTAATATTATTAAGTACACCTCAGTACCAGTACAGTTCACGGCTACAACCCAAACCAAGCAACCCACTTAATTTAGAACCAGTCAAACCATGTCAAAACTACTTCCTGATAAACCGCTCAGTGATGAAGACAGACAGCCAAAGTCTTCCTCTAACCCTAAGGGAGAACATCAAGTCCCACAGCTTATTATCATGGTCTAATTTAACACTGCTATCTAGAGCTGTCCTGAATACACACACACACACACACACACACACACACACACACACACACACACTTACAATTGCCTTGGCGAACTCCTTCTTTAACTGGGTGCTGCACCTTTTTAAAAGACCTCAGTCAGTATCAAAATGAGTATACATTGAATACATGTGTGATCTTGCTGTAATATCACACAGCCTCTGAGTTATTTTATTTATTTTGATATTTATTACTGATGCAGGGGAGATGCTACATATAAAGTACTGTGCAAGAGTTTTAGGCAGATATGGAAAAATGTAATAATGCTTTCAAAATTAGACATGTTAATGATTATATTTACCAATTAACAAAATGCAAAGTGAGTGAACAGAAGAAAAATCTAAATCATATCAAACAGTGTCAGTTCTTCTAAATAAAGGAACTCGGCAGGTAGGTTGGCCCAAACGTCTTGGAGAGGCAGCCTCAGTTGCTTCTTTCTTTTCATGTAATCCCAGATAGACTCGATGATGTTGAGAACAAGGCTCTGACTCCTTTTAAGGACTCCTTGTTCTTCTTTAAGGTGAAGATAGTTATTAGACTTTCGCTGTATGTTTGGGCTTGTTACCATGCTGCAGAATTTGGGGCCGATCAGATGCTTCCCTGATGGTATTGCATGATAAATTAGTATCCCAAATTGAGGAGACTATTCATTCTGACCAAATCCCCAACTCCATTTGCATAATTGCAACCCCAAACTTGCAAGGAACCTCCACCATGCTTCACTGTTGCCTGCAGACACTCATTCTTGGTCCGCTCTCCAGCCCTTCCGCGAACAACCTGCCTTCTGCTGTAGCCAAATGTAGGTAGGCAGGTACATTTATTGTCATAATATAACAGGTTATATAATTAAATTGAGAAACACTGATCTAGACAGGAGTGTGTGTCTTTATCTCCTTTTTCCTAAAATCAATGATCAGCTCCTTAGTTTTGCTGACGTTGAGCACTAAGTTTTTCACTGTGCACCACTCTACAAGATTATCAATTTCCTCCCGATATGAAGTCTCATCATTGTTTTAAATCCTGCCGATGATGGTGGTGTCATCCGCAAACTTCACAACAGAGTTCTCTCCATGTTGTGGATGAATGGAGTGGTGAGGGCTCTATCCAGAGCCAAAAGCTGCTTTTCAGTCTGGTGATAAAGACGCTTACAGCACCGCCAGAGCGAGACATCAAGGAGGCAAAGTGGAGACATCAGCAGAGACTGGAGAGAGACCTCAACACCAACAACATCAGAGATATGTGGCAGACCATCAAGAACATCACAGGCTACAAAAGCAGGAGCTCCCCCATCATGTGTGAGGCCACATTACCTGATGAACTGATTTTATGTTCACTTTGATCTCCTCAACAAGGAGTCAGTTGTAAAATCTACTCCACCTCCAGAGGACCGGCCGCTGTCAGGATCCACAGCAGATGTGAGAAGAGTCCTGCTGAGAGTGAATATGAGTAACTCAGCTGGGCCTGTTAACATTCCTGGCCGTGTTCTAAAAACCTGTGCCAATCAGCTTGTTGATGTTGTTACTGACATTTTCAACATCTCACTGTCTCAGGAGAGGGTTCACACCTGCTTCAAGACAGCCACCATCGTTCCTGTACCTAAAAAGTCTGCAGTGTCTAGTCTAGTGTCTAGTTTGACAAGTCCTTTGTCTGATGAAATTGCATCAGACAAAGGACTTGTCTCTTTCAGGAGGCAGACACCATCTCCACATTTAAGAGTTGGCTTAAGACTTTCCTCTTTGATAAAGCTTATAGTTAGGGCTGGCTCAGGTGAGTCCTGAACCATCCCTTAGTTATGCTGCTATAGGCCTAGACTGCCGGGGTACTTCCAAAGATCCTCTCTCCTCCTCTTTCTCTCCCTCTGTATGCAATCTCTTCATATTAATGCAAGTTACTAACTCGACCTCGAGAGCTGTGGAGTCTGGATCTGTGAGTCACCTCCTGCCTCCATGTTCCTGCTTGACATTAGTGTTGTGTCTTTCAAAGAAAGTTTTCATTTGACATAATCTTGTATATGACTCAGGAGGAACGGGTTGTCTCAGTGAGTAATTCGTTCATTTTCACACATGCATGAACGATCTTGGACTCTTACGTTCACTCGTCATACAGCAGCTACGTGGTCTTCGTCAGCACAGGAAACAGAATTGATTAGTTCAGGACTCTCACCTGTGGGTCTCTAGGTTTGAGTCGTTCATTTGTCACGTGACATTTCGGCTACTGTGGAGAATCTTTCACCACTCACATGGGTCCTCTTCAGTCTTTCGTTCATTCG